TTGCAAATTACTTATATATTCAGTATATATAAAGAACTCTCAAAATGCAATTAAAAAACAAAACAAAACAAAAACAGATGAAAGGTTTGAACAGACACTTCACCAAAGAAGATACAGGGCTGGCAAATCAGCATGGGAAAAGTTGCTCAATATCATTTATACACTAAGGAATTAAAATTACAGTGAGATCAGTGGTGACCACCAAGCGGCTGTAGGAAGTGCCCCAGGCCTCCTGAGCTGGGGCAGTGGCGGGCCTTGGGCCTCGGCCACACCCCCTGACATGTGACACTTGCCCAGTGACAACCATCAAGCTGCAGCAAGAAGGACCTTGGGTTCCCAAGGTAGGTTGGTGGGGGGTATGGGCTTTTGCCATACCCCCTTGACATCTGCATCCAGCCTGGCAATGACCAAGCCAGCACTGGAAGCCCCTTGGTCTCCCCTGTGGGAATGAGGGGGGTGCCACGGGCCTCAGTCCCGTCCCTCCTCCTTCCTCCTCCTTCCATCCCATTTCCTTCCCCTTTCCCCTCTCCCCCTCCTTCCCAACTGCTCTGTAACAACATTCTAGACTGTAAAAAATAATATTAATAAAATTACATTTTCTTTAAAAAAAAAATTACACACACACACACACAAAAACAAACAAACAACAACAGCAACAACAACAAAAAAACAAAAAAAAACGGGGGGGTGGGGAGAGGAAGATATAACAACCACAATTATTTTTTTTTTGAAGTTCTTACAACAAGCAAATGGAGGGGACACACTTGGGTGGGAGGGGGGCGAGGGAGGAGGGAGGGAGGTTTCGGTGATGGGACGTAATAATCAACCACATTGTATATCGACAAAAAAAAAATTACAGTGAGATGTCACTAAACAGCTATTATAAGAAATTGTCTTAACCACTTTGGAAAGCAGTTTTGCAGTTTCTTAAAAAGTAAGGGACAGATGTATAATTCCAGAGAGCCCATCAGTGGCTGCCTGGGGAAGGGAGTGTGGGGAGATGAGAGCGGGAGGGATTACGAAGAAGCAAGAGGAAGCTTTGGGCTGATGGATCTGTTATTTTAACTGTGGTGATAGTTCCACGGGTGTATACATTTGTCAAAACTTGTTAAATTGTACATTTTAAACATGTGCAGTTTACTATACTTAAATTACACATCAATAAAGCTTTTTCTAAACAATCAAAAGGAATGTGCCCACATGTGGAGACTAAGGCTATTTGTTTCCTCACAGCAGGGTTAGAACAATCCACAAAACAGTGGAGTCCACTAGGTGGAGGGTAAATATTTAGACTTTCAGATTTAATTTTCAGAATTTTGAAAGTCAGAGAACAATAAAGCCAGTTCTTTCTTTGACCATGATTAACTTATCCTGTCTCTTTGAAGTCAGCCAACATTTCTAGTGTTGAGTTGCCCTAAAAGTTTCTGTGGAATAATGAGGTTGCAGGCATGCACTACTCAGCGTGGACGGGGATGTGTTCTGAGAAATGCATTGGTAGGCGATTTTGTCGTTGTACGAAAGTGTGTAATGAAAGGGAGCGGCAGTGAGTTTTCCTCTTGTCCACACTGGCCACTACTTGCAAGAGCGACGGCCCTCTCGTTGTGTTACTAAGTCTCTGTGCCCCACTTTCCTCATCTGTTGAGTGGGGATTAGAATAGTACCACTCCGGGCCAAGCCCGTGGTGCACTCGGGAGAGTGCGGCGCTGGGTGCGCAGCAGCGCTCCCACCGCGGGTTCGGATCCTATATAGGGATGACCGGTGCGCTTGGTGCGCTCACTGGCTGAGCGTGGTGTGGCCAGTCTCAAAAAAAAAAAAAAGAATAGTACCACTCCCACAAAGTCAGGAGAATGAAATTACAGGCAGGGATTGTGTCTGGCACTCAGCATGCACTAAGGGAGTATTAGCTAACTGTTCTTAACTATTATTTTGCTATGGAGACGGGTAGGATCATTTAAAAATGCAAGAATTCTGAAGTAGACAACAACCCTTTCAGTTGGGGGCAGACCTAGTGTGTCCGATGCTGGACTGGCCTCCTATCTCAAAGGTCTGAGCTACCTTTGAAAGGGTCACCCCATGGGTAAGCTATCACTCCTCCTCAATGTATTTTGCAGTAGGTTTGTTTATACCAGCATCACTGCAAACGCATGAGTAATGCATTGTGCTACAGCATTATGACAGCCACAGTGTCACTAGGCAATAGGAATTTTTCAGCTCCTACTCTTATGGGACCACTGTTATATATGTGATCTGTTGACCAAAATGTGTTATGTGGCACATGACTGTATTTGAAAATAAGTGTAGCTTCCTGGGTGAGGTGAAAGGGCAGGTCATGGCTGTATTTAGCTATGGCAGAACTAGACCCCGAGTCTGACTTGAAAAGGTCCAAGAGGGCCGTGTGAAATTGAGACGGCTTCGCCCATCCTTGAAGATGTGGGGAGAGAGTTGCACAGTATTTCCCTCGGGGCCACGGAAAGGGCTGGGAGGACTTGCCCTGACTCTGTCCTTATGCACACAGTGTATTTGCCAACTCTTGGATGCTCTGGCTCTCAGCGGCAGCGGAGGTGTGAACTTGGCATCCCAGCTGGAAAATATTATGGACTTACTGTTCAAGCAGGCAAGTGCTGTGAGGCTAGAAATGTCCTGGGCCTGCCCTTTCTCTCTTCCTCAGAGGCAATGGCTTCCCAAGACCAGGTCTCCACCTCCACATGGCATGGTGTCTTTCACATGGTGACCTTAGCTGTACACATTTCTCGCTTCCCAGGAGCAGGCAAATGCCTGGGTTTTGGGCACAGAGTGGGATATTCTTCATGAATATGGAGTTGGACACATGTTGTATGTTTCCTGGAGTGACAGGCCTTTGTTGCTCCCCATAAACTCTGGGAAAAGGGCAGAAGATTCAAGTCACTCTGTCATGCCTGTGGGAAATGCCAGTCCTGTTGCAGCCTGAAATAGGAAGAAGACTATTGAACATTTTGCAAAAGGGTGACACCTTCCATATGTTTAGTTGTTGGCCACTGTCTTCCTCGCTCTGGGTCTGGGAATGTAGGTTCCTAGGTTCTATTTCCCTGTTTTCCTTATGGCCAAGCAGCACATTTTTCATGGCTTCATTCCTCAGTTTCCCCATCCATGCCTAGAGGCCCTGGTTTCAGTCCTCCCAGGTCTGATGGCCTTGGTCTCCCTACAGATGAGTGAAAAAGTCAACAACACAGACTCTTGTTCTGTGCAGAACCACGGCCTTGCCCTGAGGGCTTTCTGCATCCTGAGTAAGTTAACACATGTCCCTACCTAGAAGAGTGTGTTTGTGTGTGTGTGTCTCTCCTTGTACTGGATTGAGACCCTAGGTCCCCATGATGGTGTGCTGGTGGTGGTGGGGTCCTCCATCCTCTTAGACAGGATGGCAAAGTAATTCATGTGAGCTTTGCCTGAAACTAAATGAATCTGAAAGGGCGTAGGCAGTGCTCCACCTCCATCGCTTTTGTTCCTGCTCCCTTCACCCGGGATCGACTTCCTTTCTGCTGTGGTGATCCCCTGCTCAGAAAGGTGATCACCTTTAATTATTCCAGCACTGAGGAGCACCCTGAGGAGCACAAGCAGTTTGCTGACGTATGGGAGGGCATGAGGTGGGGCAGGGGAGGGACGAGGCCTTGCTCAGGAACAGCATCTGGTGCTGTGTGTGGCATGTGGTAAATGCTGGAAAAACACTTTGTTTTTTCTCTTCCTTCTTCCTTGCCCTGTCACAGTGGAGCCTAAGTTATCCAGCCCATGGCATTGCTGGTTTGCTGTGACTGTAATTTACTACTACTTATTTCCTGCCACTTAAACATGCCCCTGATTGTATTCACACCCTTCTGACAGCCAAATTATACAGTGATCAGATGATACTGTTAATACGAAACACCATGGAATCCGAGGATTCAGCCAAGGTAGTGTTAGCGCTTCAGGTCTTCAAGGAGGTGTTCCATGAAGGTGAGTGGGAAAGAAAAATTTACATGGTCCCCGGGTTCTAGGATTTGGTCTTTCCAAGATCTTTTGTCTCTGGGAGACAGTCCAGTATAGTAGTTAAAAGCACAGTTTTAAACTCAAAGTAAACTCAGTGGGTTCACATTTTGGCTTTGCCTCTGACGAGTTGTGCAAACTTGGGCAAATTACTTCTCGTCTGTGCCTCTCTTTCCTCATTTGAAAAATAGACGGAAAATTAATACCTCCCTTAAGAGTTTTTAGTGAGGATTAAGTGAGAAAATGTATGTGAGGTATTTTGAACAGTGCCTGCTATGCAGTTAGTCTCATAGTGGTTTATCTGTGATTACTGCCTTGAAGAGTAGGCTTCACCTCCAATCAAGTGCTTATGTTAAACTTTTGCTGTGTGGTTAGCACAGTGCTAGGCACTGAGAAGACAAATTAAATAAGACAGTCCCTGCCCTCAAAGAGCTTGCTGTTGGGTGGGGAAAAGGAGACTGTTCACACAGTGAAATGACACAAGACCATGTGCCCCAAGTTGCTTAAATGGGAGCATGGCAACGCATGGCAGGAGGTCAGGGAAGGGATTGGCCATGGCAGCTGGGGTGGCATTCTGTAGGAGGTGGGACCGAGAGCGGGGAAGGAGATCTTGATAGATAATGGGTTAGGAGAGGGGATTCACATTGAAAGACAATGGTCAGAATTCCAAAGGTTGAGAGGAACAGAGGGTGGGGACAACCACTTGGCTGGAGGGGCGGGTCGGTATGGGCAGCCACGGGAGGCCAGCGAGGGACGGGGCTCCAACACCAATTGGAAGAAAGTGCTGTGGCAGCTCCCTTCTCAGGCTAGGGGAAGCTGGAGTGATTTCAGGCTAGGCTGGCTGATTTCAGTGAGGAGGAGGCTGAGAAATCTCTGGAGACTCCATCTGGCCTTCGAAGACCAGAACTGTACCAAGAATCCTTGCCACCTGTTTTTTTGTTTCCCAGTGCCCAGAGGAGTAGGGAGGAAGCTGACCTCCCGCTGCATATCTGTGTTTTCTCTAGTGCCCCAGACAGAGAAGCTGAGGAGCGAGGTCATGAATTCAGTCATTGTCGCCATACAGGAGGACCGGAAACCAGTGAGCAGAAAGCCTGAGTGTTTGTGCGGGAAGGGCGGTTACTTTCTTGAGACCTTGAAGTCGTGTAAAATGGGGGAGGGAGTGAAGTGGGGAATGCGGGGGAGAGGTAGGACACCCTAAAGCCAATTCCATCCTTAGACCTCTGCCTGTGGGCTACATTAGGGCTCTTCAAAGCCTACGAAGGGTTTGAAAAATGGACAGGTGGTTCCTACCTGTCTTTTTTGAGCCTTTTCTGTGGCACCTCCGGTGGGGACCTGGAGCTCTAAACGACAACGATTCAGCCCCTGAGAACTCATTGTTTGCCTGGGGAGAGAAATCCCTCGAACATCAGGTCTGGGGTAGGGTCTGAGAAGCTGTACTTTGGACAAGCTCTGCAGCCAGGGCTGCAGGCAGCAGAGGTTCCCAGCTCTGCTTCATGTAGGACAGGGCAATGGGACAGCTGTCTCAGGGGCAGTGGTCTTGAGTGCCAGATAGAAGACAATGGCATCATCCCTAAAAACAAGGGCCCAAATCCCCAGAAGGTTAATGAGGAGACTGGGATCTTGAGGCTAAGCCCTCAGGGCCTGTTTGCCAGAACATGGGACCTTTCCTGGGCTTCTCCCCTTGCCCAACACTCCTGCCGAGGTGTGCTCACAGTTCTCCAGGAAGATGGTGGGAGCTGATGTGGGTTGGACCTTCAGGGCAGAGGACACAGTGGTCAGGCTGGTCTGTGATGGCTACAGAGTCCATTAAATGGTCATGCTGGACTTGGAGTCAGGAGACCCTAGAAGACTCCTGAACCTGCCGTGGCCCTCTGTCCTCATCTGGTGGTCCCTGAGACCGCTTCCTGTCTTGCCACATGATGGTCTGTGACCCACAGGTGCAGATGGCCCTCCTGAACTTCATCAATACGCTGGGCCAGTACGACTACCTGACCCTGCCCCAGGGGAACACCGTCATCAACTACCTCATCAAGCTCAGCGAGTCTGACCCCTCGGTGAGCAGGGGCCAGGCACGAGGGAGGGGACAGCAGTGGGAGCAAGGCTCAGGCCAGGGGGATGAGAGAGGGCAGGGTTAGGAGCAGAGGGAAGAAGAGGAGGGCAGGCTGGCGTGACGGGGAGGGCTTGGGCATCTGAAACCCTGATCTGTGGCCAGGGGAGTCCTTGGACCAGGAGGCCCAGCTAGTGTCAGTTTTAGATGTTAATTTTTCCTTTTCTTACTCCAGAATGAAGAGGACATCCAACTGATGTGTTCCAAAATCCTGCAGATGGTACACACAACTAGGGTCAAAGAGGCCCCCTCACTTCCTCCTCCCCTGCTCCCCAGACCACTGCTCTGACTCCCAGCCGGCCTCCTCCCCGTCCCCCTTCATCTGGCCCCTTTTACTGACTCCTCCACCCCTCCCACCCCCACCCGTTCACATGTGCACGGGACCTGGGGCTCCTCTGAGAAGTGGCTCAGTGGAGCAGTGGATGGGCACTGGCTGCTGGATGGCAAGTCTGGAGGCGCGAGCGTGAGTCCCTCTGCTAATATCTGGCTGTGAAATCTTGAGCAAATGACTCTCTGGGCTGCACTCCTGCCCTCTGTAAAACAAGGGACGAGGATTCCTGAGGCTCCAGGGGCTGCTGTGTGGGTCAGAGGCGAGGGGAGCGCTGGGGGAGGGAGGGACAGCTGTGATTTACTGTCCTTCCCAGAGTCCCAGCGCTCTCTCTAGCAAGCTCTGTCTCCTGACCCTTCGTGTTTCTTCTACCTCTGGAATGTTTGCCCGTGAAGGCGATCACAAGTCACACAATTCCAGACTCCAAGAAGCCCCTCTATCAAATCAAGTCATTCCTAGTATAGTTTTAATAAGGACCTTGGTTACATTTTACCAATATGAGGCAAGAAGAGAGCGAGAGCAAGTGAGAGAGAGAGAGAGAGAGAGAGAGAGAGAGAGAGAGAGTACGTATGGGGGCAGGGGCTGGGTACACAGGCCTCGTGTGCCCCTTTGGCTGGAGAACTTATGATTGGGGCTGATTTGGGCATGGCCTTGAAGCCCTTGCCATTATCCCCTGCCAGGTGTCCTTGCCCAAACTGGTCACCTTGGCATGTCAGCCCAGCAACATCTCAGCCTTTGTGATCTTGAGTAAGACGACCACGGAGCTAGCTCTGAGGGCCCGGTCCCTGGGCCAGGTCCCCTACCTCAGCAGCTTCCACCTCAGGCGTAAGTACCGGGGCAGGTACCCCACGGAGAGGCAGCAGCTGTGACACTTGGGCTGCCACAGGCGTGAAGTGGGGGTGGGGGGCCCATGGGGGGGGGGGTGGAGGAGGGAGAGGCTGCAGACGGGAGCCTGGGCAGGATGGCGGGAGGCTGGGGATTGGGCAGTAGCGTAGGCCATCACCCTCACCGTGGATGAAAAGGATCCTCCTCTGGAAGAG